TTATTGATTTTAAGTAACTTATACCTTAAAAATTAAAAGAATAAGATGAAAGTAATTTTAACAGCTGTCAAACACGTTTTTAGGTTATTTTGTTTTGTATTTGAATATAATAAAAAATAAAATGGTCGTAGAAAAAACATTGTGTTTTACTTGTAAGAAAAGCTTTCTTCAAGCTCGTGTTAATGCACACCCGGCCTGAAGGCCTTGTGTGCAACTTAAACACTCGCATGAAAAAGTCGCTTTTCAACACTTGTAAAACAAATAACTATTGTAGTTTTTTATTGAGATAATAATATAATTTTTACATTTACTACTATTTAAAAAAAAAATCACTTTATTTTAACGATTGTATGACATTTGACAACTGTCAACTAACTTCAAACTAACTTAAACCCATGACTAAAGCGCCATAAAGCCACAACTTGTCAATGTGTATTACAAAGGTCACTTGGTGTAATGGAAACATGTACGATAATATGCGTTTTAAAGGTGGGAGTAGAAAAAATTAATTAATTAATAAATAATATATCCTACCTTTGACAAGAAGATCCAAAGATTCGGCAACTATTAACAAATAATTTCACGAGTAGGTGGGTGGCAGACTACATAATGTATTCATGAGTTTGTTCCAAAAGTAATTTGATACATCGTTAGAACCGCCTTTTCTAGTCTAGTAAAAGTTATGTAAGCCCCGGTAAAAATTTATTATTTTAAACAAACTTTCAGCGATACTTCAAAGTCAAAGATATAAGGTAAGGTCCTTAAATTATTGTGAATGATATTTAAAGACCGGACATGTAGGCACTTCAAAATGTCCAAATCACTTATGTGACATTTGAAATATTTTACACTGAAAATGTTAAATAATATTAAAAATTGTCGACATAATTTTTTTTTATTCCTATTAGAAAATAATTGGGTAAAAAAACAAATTTTCAAAATAAAGTTATAATAAATATAAAAAACAATCACATGGGTATAGGGTCCTAATTTAAATATAATTTATGAATTAATTAATAATTTTTATTTTATAATTTTAACATCTTCAACTACTTAGGAGATTTGGGCACGATATTAATGTATATGTTAAAAAAAATTTAGGTTGTAGTAGAGTATACTTAGAATACATTCACAAAGTTTTAGAAACTGACCGTCTGGTTTCAGAGTAAAAAATTATTAAAGTTGCTAAGACTACACAGGATGTTATCGTTTATTATTGCTAAACTGTGTTGTGAATGTTGGCAAAAATGTGTATGCTAATTCTACAGCTAAAAGTGCATACTATAAAAAAAATTATCAATTTCTTGTTGTCATGTTATAAGATATAAGTTAATTAAATTCATATTAATCAATTAATGCATATCTTCTAACGTGAAATTAAAAAATTAATGCACTAATAATAAACGATAATGTTGAATGTGTCCAACAAAAATTATTAATTTGTCATTTTCGTCTAGATGATCCGGCAACATTGCATTACAAACACGTGATTATCTAGAGACATTTGGTTTGAATTATTTGCTGACTACCATAATTTCGTTTATAAAGGAAATTATTAAAAAAAACACAATTGTTTTGTTATTATTTTTTAAATAATTAGGCAATGCTTTTATAGTTGTCTTATATTTGTTTTCTGCTCATACTGCTCTGTTGCTTTTTTGGTTCCAATACCTTTTTTTAATAATTTTTTCTTTGTAGTGGACACAGAACATAATAATTCGTTTTCGCAACTCATTTTAAGATTTTACATAGCACTGCATAAAGAAATGTCACTGCAACTGTCAAAAGCTAAAAGCGTTACCATAGAAACCAACTATAAACAACTCGCGTTCAAATTGTATTTTTTTCGTTCCTGTGTTAAAATATATATATGTATATGGTGCCTTTAATTTTAAAATACAAAATAATTACAAAATGCAATGTAATGCCCGAATCTCCTTAAGTAAAAATTACATTTTATAAAATAATAATATATTAAGGCAAAAAATTGATTTTGCCAGTGTCATCATTAGCATAACAAGCAAGTCTAATTTTATATCACATAAACATTAAGGTCAACATCTTTCCGAATCTTCTGGATCATCTAAGTTATCAGTATCATAGGTCTGAACATTTTTCTTAAAACTTTTATCGAAAGCCATTTTGAAATACTTATTGCTACATCCTAAGTAAGAAACTAAAATAATAGGACTTGCGTATACACTTAAAATGGAAATGGCTTCAATACATCGAAACATTATTATTATACTATTAAAACCTTTAATTAGTAGTAAACATTTTATAAATTCTGGTAGGTAACATAGTAATAAAATATTAGCTACTGTGATCGAGTATTTAGTTTTGGTACATTCATAAGGAATTTCGTGTAGTTTAATATAGATATTAATAAACAATAATATAAATACTATTATGCAATATCCAATTATGTATGTAATAATTTCAATATATATATTGAATTCATAATGAAGATATATTTGAATTGCCCACCATAATAATGCAAGCATATGTAAAATCAAAAGTTCGTATTTATAAAGTGGTTTCGTCCTCAATATCCAGTTTTGTTTGAAAGTCATCATAAACCAATCTAAAGCCATGGCTACAGCAATCACATAAGTAAAGAAAATGCAGGTGACTTCCAAAAAATCTAACAATATAAAAACATTCAAAGCAATATCGTAATCTTTAACAAAAATAAAGACAATTTCAGAAATTGGCGTTGCAATGTATTGAATTATATTGAGTATGGTTATGCTTAATATAAATGAATTTATTCTTGTTTTAAGTTTCTTAAACCTTAGAATTGTTATAACCAAAAATATATTTGTGGCCAAACCGACAATTCCTACAATAAATTTAAGAAGTAAGATTAATATAACTATGGCAGACCATACAGCTGGCATTGCTGGTGCTTCTTCATTAAAGGGATCCAAAATTGTTTCGTGGGTGGTGTTGTCAGTTATGTTTACAGCCATTTTATCTGCAAAATAAAAATCAATTGATATACGAGTTTTAAAAATGCTAAAACTGCTACGCCACATTAAATTGTGTACAGATCTTATGGGGAAATTCCCAAAAGTTAAGTTTAATTTCTGGGATTCTCAGATTTGCAGCCAAATATTGGTGATCACAACTTTGCTGATATGTTAAACAAATATTAAAAATATTCCCCAACACCAAAACAAAACACAAAGTGCTTAAAGTTACTTTTCGCCAACGATGTTGGCATCCTTAGAAGCGAAGTGTAACTAATGAAGATGCCAACAATGTTAACTTAACTAAACAGTTTGACAGTTTCTAATAAAAAGTATTAATGCGTGTAGGATTTATACATATAGTTTGTAAAATTACAACTTATCTTAGTAGATTTCCCAACATGTCTCGGAAGATTACTCAAATTGTATTATAATTTTGTATTGGTATAAGAGGTGTGTTCAGAAAATATCGGGAATTTTCGTTTTTTGAAACAAATATTTATTTATTCGTCTACATTAATGTTGTCGCCTTCAAAATAGTCCCCATTAGATATTATGCACATGTGCCAGCTCTTCTTTCAATACTCGAAACACTTCTAAAACTCGATCTTTGGGATAGCCTTTAGGTCTTTTAGCGATGCGCTTTTAATGTCATCTATTCTCTTTATTTTTGGGAATAGGAAAAAGTCAGACAGAGGCATGTCTGGCGAATATGGAGGCTGGGGCATCATTACAGTATTGTTTTTGGCGAAAAATTTTGTTCAAAATTTAACAATTTTAGAACAAATTTTGCTGCCACGCGTTTCATACCCAAAACATTCGAAAAAATTTCATGGGATGAGGCAATCGATATACCAACATCATCAGCGACTTCTCTGATGGTTTATAACCATTTCTTCCACTTTTTCCATGTTTTTATCGGTTGTTAATGTGCTTGTGCGTTCGTCATCTTCAACGTCTTCACGGCCATCCTGGAAACTCTTAAACCACTTGTAAACTCTTGTTTTACATATAGCAGACTCACTATAGGCCTTTGTTAACATTTCACAGAATTTATTTCATTTTTTAAGCAAAATTGGATACAAATTCTTTTATCCATTTCTTTTAACAAACGAAAAATCGCCGAGCTCATAAAACACGTCTAACCTTAGCGGCTGCCACAGACAAAGTAAACAATGAAAACAGCTAAAGTTTTTATCATACTTCGGGGGCATGTATACCAATATAATAAGGAAAATTTTATGTTAACCGGACCCTCCGAACCCGCGAAATTTAACAATTCCCGTTATTTTCTGAACACACCTCGTATACACTGATTTGTAATTTTACTCATCCTTTGTTTTGCAAAACAATTGTAATTTTACAAACAATTTTAACAGTCTACATAATTAAACTGCAAACAGAAGTTGTATAAAATAAATAATTAATTGTTTATTTCCAAACACTTATTGTAATTCAAATAGCAAGGTTTGGTAAGTAATTTTATTGATTATCTTAGTAAAATTAAATTCCGAATATGTATACATTTCCAATTCAATTCTACAATACAGAATTGTAAAATTACTATAAGTATCTGACAAAAACCAAAATATTATAAAATGGGACCCTGTTTAGTACTTTGGCTTTAACAAAATGTAATATTACAACAAATGCGTATTAAAATTGCAATACAATACAACATGTTGTAATTTTACTATGCAACTGCTTAGTAAAAATGTAGTAATTTTACAAACATTTTTAACAGTGAGCATCAAAATTGTACTCAATGTTATCCTTAACGTTAAAACTGTGTGAAGTGTATCGATGACCCTCACAACATGCTCTGGTTATCATTTTCGGATATAATATTAATTAAATGTGTTGCTACCGTTTGACTGGACTATAACTTGTTTACAGTAAAATTGCATTTGGTAAGATAACAACTTTATTAAACAAATATCTATTTAAATATTTGAGTTATGAACATATAACTTAAGTAACAAATTCTTTAAGAAAAAAATCAACAAAATTAAAAAAAAAACAGAAAACCTAATAAATAGATACATCTTCTGCATTCATGTGTACTCTAACAATTTGATCTTCAGTTTTGCACTCTTCGTCATCCGATACATCCAAATTTCCATTTTGGTAGATTGATAATGATCTCTTGAAGCTTCGATTGTACGCCATTTTAAAGTGTTTGTTTTTTCTGCCCAGAATCCAAACCACAACGACGGGACTCGCATAACCAAAAAGCCCCGTAATTAATAGTGTAACATGCCACTGCGCGTGGAAGCCGATGAGCAAAAAATAATGCAACACAAAATGAGGCAACCAAGACAAAACAAAAATATTCGCTACGGTAAGGCAATACACTGTTTTAGTTGCCTCATAGGGCAAATTGGTCTTATAAATATAAATATTAACGGCAAGTAAGAAGATAACACCTGCAACGTAAATTACTACGTAAGGTATGTGTAATGGACTTCCCATTTTGTGCATAAAATTTAGTATGAAGCTCAGAACGAATAAAACTACGAAGATAAGCGGGTACAGTGTTTGGGTTTTCAAAGTCCAATTACTTGTAAACGTCATCAACAACCAGTCCAAGACCATAGTGAGTAATAGCATAAGGAATAAAATACTGAAAGCTTCATACACAGTGTAAATTATAGTATAAAATCTATTAAAATATATTAAAAATGTTAATAAATAAGCTAGCGATTTTATAACTACCGCATTAAATATATACATGTTGATTCTTGTTCTTAATTCTTTAAATCTTAAAATTGTAACTACAAGAAAAATTTTGGCAGCTAAAGCACATACAAACGTCACTAAGGTGCATATAAGAAAAATATAGTGTATGTATTTGACCACAGTTTCGGTTTCGTAGACATCTTCGATAGGATCGTCTATCGCTTCTGTAAAGTTTTTTTCCGATATATTCATTTGGTTGGTACCTAAAAAAAATTTTGAAATATTAAATTTTCCAAAACGCTAAAAAACGTACCTTAATTTTAACTGTCTAGAAACTACTCACTATAGTCACTCCTGCAACAAACACACAATAATAAAACATAAAAAAACATTTAATAACTACAAAATTAATTATTGTCCTTTATAAGGAGCTAAAGTAACACTTTTTGTGTCAATTAAAAAAAATTAATCTTTATTATAAATTTTATCTAAACTGCGCACCACTCAATGTGTCTTGACCAAAAAGTTCGTTCTTTTTCAAAACAACATAACTTGTTTGTTTCTTGAACGATTTTATTTTGGTCTGTGATGTCTGCTAGCCTCATCCTTTGGCAATTCATGCTATAGATATGAAGCTCACGGTTCTTTAAGTAAATTTCCTACAGGGTGATATGTTATACGGTAAAAAAATTTAATAACTTCATCCCAGCCCCGTTTGTAAAAACATAATTTTTTTCTCGTTTTTACTTTGAAATAATGAAGTATTATGTCTTACCTTAAAACGTTTTTCAAATTTTACGAATTGGAATCTTAGCAACGAAAGTATGATTTTTTTCCAAAAGAGTACATTTAAGGCTTTTTTGTAGGCAATATACTTATTTTTTTTAGGAACAAGAAGATAAGATGGTGAAAGATTGTTCCTTAAATAATTCTGAACAAGCGACAAGCAACAAAATTCCATTATTTTTAGAGGGCCTAAGCAAAGAACACTTTTTCAAACTAACATTTTGGTAAAAATTTGCGAAAACTAAACCTAAACCGATATTTACGTTCGTTACGTTTTCTTCATAATTTTGTCCTCCTGATTGTGATTCAGTTGTCAAATTTAAGTTTCAGATAAAACCAAAATCACCAAGAATCAAGATTCGAAAACAATTGCCGGCTGTTAAATGTCTCAATAAAATACGATTGCTGGTTTTTACTGTTTTTTTACTGTTCGTTAAGTTTTACCTACCTACCTACATATATACCTACCCATATCTTACCCAGGTTACTTCCATTAAAATTTACCGTTGATTTGGAGATGTTAATTCCCGTAGCTGCAGCAAAGAACGGCAATTGCATTTTAATCATTTTAAGTTTAAATGCACAGAAAAAAATCTAACATAGTACGAAGAACAGCGCCATTGAATGCATTAAAATTGAAGCAATCTAAATTGTTATTTGCTCAATTAATTACTATTAAACCAAAATAGGGAAAATTTGAAAACCGTTTCAAGGTAAGACATAATTCAATTCAATTCATTATTTCAAAGTAAAAACTAGAAAAAATATTTCTTTTTTCAAACGGGGCTTGGATGAAATTATTGAAATTTTTCACCGTTTAATATATCACTCTGTAGAAAATTTACTTGAAGAACCGTAAGCTTTATATCTATAGCATGAATTGCCAGAGGATGGGGCTAGCAGGCATCACAGACCAAAATAAAATCGTTAAAGAAACAAAAAAGTTATGTCGTTTTGAAAAAGGACGAACTTTTTGGTCGCGATACATTAAGTGGTGCGCAGTTTATATAAGATTTGAAAATTAAAAAATTTCAAATATTACCATTTTTTACAAAAGATGACTCATCACCGAGGTCATCACTGATTTGTAAAAATATGGATAAAACAGGTGAGTAATATTTGCACAAAACTTGCTTATAAATAATAAAAATTTATATACAATGTTTAAAATTCAATATTTAAAAAAGTTTTTTATAATTATTATACAAACAATTTTCAGAAAATGCCTGTAACATTCAACTGTAAATATTAAACACATTATTATTATTAATACTATTATAAACCGGACTTAATTAAAAACTAGCCACCCTTAATAACTTTTATCATTTACATAATTTTAAAGAAAATTTAAATTCTGATCCATCGAAGTTAAAAAAATTAAAATTCGATCAAGGATATAAACAAAACAAAGAATTTCATAAAAAAAAATTATTTTAAATGTTGAAAATGTGCTTAGTTATTTGATTTGATTTATTTATTTGCCTACATTCTTGAATTATTCTTGAATGTTCTCAGGTTGGTGTTTTTTAATGACCCCAAAGAAAAAAATCAAGTGGCGTTAAATCTGAAGATCTTGCCAGCCATTCTTAAGCACCTCTTCTACCAATGCATTTCTAGGGAAACCTTTGGTTCCACCATTTTCCGACTGCTAAAGCATAGTGAGTAGAAGCTCCATCTTTCAGTCCTACATGAAGCAATATGTTTTCTTGTTTGTCCGTCTGATTTTTTAAGGATTGGGTAATAAGTGGGTCTATAACATTTTTAAGATGATCAAGATATAATTGTCCAGTCAAGTTTTCTTCGATAAAAAGGGGTGCAATTATTTCGTTGAAAAGAATACTGGAATACATTGATTTTTTGAGGATACTGACATGGGCGCCGGAAGGAATTCGTCTAGGGGGGGGGCTTAAAGTTTTTTACAATTTTGATAGATGTTACTTATAATCAAGTTGTACTGTAGAAGTTCACATTAAACTTAAGTCAAATAAAATATCATCTTTATATGTATATTTACCTATTTATTTATATTGGTACATATTGAAAAAAATACATCACAGTTTTTTGGTAAATATATAAATTTAAAAAAATTGTATCGCCGAGGAATCTCCTCTAGTAGTACAGCCGTCTTATGTATACGCTATACAAATTATGATAAATTAAAATATAACAAAAAAATTAAATACAAACATGAGTAATATTTTAAAAATAAGTTATAACAATAACAAAAACTTAAAAAAATGTGGTTGCACTGTAGCGACTTTTTTAGGTAATACATATCGATGTTATGCTATAGCATGACATAGAGTAGTAATAACAGGATAATTATAAGCAATTTTTGTGTGTAACACGTCTTATTTTTTGTTTTGCAACACGCCTATTAGGTATTATGGTTATTTATAATATTATACAAATTATGGAGTACCGGAATTTCTTGGTATGAATTTCCAGGGGGGGGGGCCGGGCCCCCCCTGCCCCTATGTAGCGGCGCCCATGGATACTGAGTATGATCCCCTAAAAAACATGTGGATTTTTATTGTCTGTACCTACCTAAGTTTATTTGCAAATCAATTTAGATTCATCGCGAAAACAAATATTTTTTAATAAATTGGGAGCAGAAATTAATTCGGTTCTTTCTGCTAAAGTATACACCATTTTTTTAATATTTAGGTAGTTTGATATTGTTGAATTTGTGTTTTTCTGAACATTTGCGATTCAGATGGTTTATTTTTCTTGTCGTATTTTCCCGTTGGAAAATAATGTACACGGGTTAGTTAACTGTTTTTAATTATCACTTTATTAATAAAATTTTATTCGTTTGACATGACATTAACATACATTTGCGTTGTAGCAGGGTTTTTTCTAACTTGTACGTTCATTGGGGTTAGGTAAAAGCTTAACTGCACACCCCGGACATCATCGAAACTTTTTTTAAAACTTTTCCCCACTTCGTGGTCAAGGCGGGAATTCTTTATAATTCAAATTAAAGTGACGTGCTCAACAGATGTTTCTTCACAAATATTTTGGTCAAGGTGGCTAGTTTTTAATTGAAATCCTTGTATGTAGGTAATAAAGGAATTATTAGTTGGTATTTTACTTTTACACCAATTCATCATTAAATAATAAATTAATTAAGTTACTCACCTATTAATATATTAAATCCTTTTGTTCAAGTTTAACACAATTCTTTTGAACTTATTTCTGACTTGACATTCATGAAAGCCAGAAACACCATTCAACTCGAGCAGCCAACTATTATTGATGCACTGTTATTTATCTGAGCTTATCTCTTTTTTAAACGAGTCACTAATTTGATAAACTCCTTTTCAACATATACTTATTTTGACTTAAAAACCCGAAATATAATATACAATATAATTTTTTTTATATTTTTTCGTATTAAATTAATTTCTTTAAGGGATTTTGTTTCTTTAAGATTTCTCAACTGGCTTGTTAATTTAAATGTAAGAGTTTAAGCATGTCTAGTTGGAGTCATTAAAAGCCCACATACATTTTTAAACATAATTTCCTCCATTTTTGTTGACCTCTAAAACAATTTTATTTCATAATTTGAAAATTTTAGAAATTTGTAGAATTTTGAAATTGTTCACAGTGCAGACTCGTGTAGTTGCTATTTTTATCTTATGTGGCATTGAGTAGCCCAATGTGACAAAAACTCTTCACTCGTTTGCATCCACTGTATCGCAAAGTTGGCAGAGAGTATTTGATTTTCTGCTTGTTGCTTTCAATTGCTTTCTTCTTTGAAAATTGCCGCAATCAAAGCCATATTTCCGATACCTGCTGTCTGCATTTCCATTCGACTTTTATCTCCACTATACGAAAGGAAAAACACGAAATTTCTCGTTAAACAACCGTCTCGAAGCTATTCACCTTCTGAATTATTTATTTAGGCTGGTTTTTGGGCCAATAAAAAGACGAATTTAAAGTAATTTTCTCTTACAAATTTATATGAATGGTTTTTAGATATAAAACACTAATAAATTTTTCTCTGAAAAACCAAGAAAATTTTACCTTTTTATAATAGTTATTTATGTATCACGAATGTGGAAATTATTTGCCGAGGCGAAAGCCGAGTATTTGACCAACCACGTGAGTGATAAAAAATGACTAATGCCGAGATGCATATTAAATTTTATCAGAAATCACATTTAATAATACTAATAATTAATATTGATGATTAAATCAAATGTTATTTGATGATCAAATCAAATGTCATTTGAATGTTGTTGTAAGTGTCTACGTATACTGTTTGGTTATTATATATTTGCCCTCCGCGGCGATTTTTTAATCTAATTAGTAAAATTAACTTAATATTTTTATGAAAAGGGCCAATCGACTTCCGCGACGGTGCTTTTTTTTAAATATTATTTAGTTGCTGCTGAGGAGCAGTGGACACATCTTAAAATGTTTAATGAGTTGCATACAATACTCGTATTAAATCGGAATACAAGTTATACTTCCGATTGTTGACTATTTTACTGCCGATTTCGGATTAACGTTATTTTAGTTACGAGTTTAACTAGACTGACGAGCGAGTGTTTAATAAAAACGAGTGTCTAGAGAAGTTTATAAACGAGTTTCATACTATACTTTTTCTACAACAAATTCTTATGATTATATAAAAATTATTTAAATTAAATATTTGTAAAGAGCGATATCTATACAAAAATAGAGTAACCGTAAGAATGGAAATCTGTATTACCGGCGGCAAATGTCAAATGATTCTTTGTAAACCAAAATATCCCTTGAAAATGGACTAACAACCGTTTAAATCCGATATAGAACCAGTTTTTCACACTAAAAGTAAAGAGAAAGTTTTATGGACAATCCACGGTGAAGTCTTCACATTCTTATATGCTGGCGGCAAAATCAAAAAATACATATAAACTTTTTAAATATTGGCGTTGAGAAACTTTTTAATACTTCTGTATTTTTGAATTGAGATAACACAGTACTTTTCGCAATAAGTATTATTTCACAAGAAGGGCACTTTATTTTAACGATTGTTTGAAATTTGACAACTGTCAACTAACTTAAAGCTAACTTCAGCCCGTGACTAAAACGCCATAAATCCACAACTTGTCAATGTGTATTTAAAAGGTCACTTAGTGGAAACATGTACGTTTAAAGGTGGGAGTAGAAAAAATATTGTTTACACTTTTATTACCAAGAAATAAAAATATTTTATTTTGTTTTACACGCTTGTTATTTTATTTATAAAAACATAAAAATAATTAAATTTACATTACACAGAACAAAAATGTTTTTCCAAGAATAATACAGGGTGTCCGGGAAAAGGAGGTCAATCCGTTAAACCATATATTCTTTGAGTTAAAACAATAAGACTTTCATAATACCATTTTTCAATTTAGAGCTTCATGTTCGATATACAGGGCGACAAAGTTTGTAATTTAAAACTGATTTTTTTTAATAATTCAACTAATTGATAAGATATTAAGTTTAAATTCGGTACACTACTTCAACATAAATAGTTACATTTTTTGAGACCAACAAAACAAAAAACAATTGTCAAATAATCAAAATAGGGG